ATTGTGGTCTAAGAAGATGCTTTGTAGTATTTCAGTGTTTTTGAATTTACTGAGGCTTGTTTTATATCTTCACATATAATCTATTCTGGAGATTGATCTATGTGCACTGGAGAAGAATTTGAATCGTGCTTTTGTTGGGTGGAGTGCCCTGTCTATGAGGTCAAGTTGGTTGATTGTGTTATTGAGTTCTTCTGTATCTTTGTTGAGTTTTTTTCTAGTTGATCTGTCCCTCCTTGAAAGTGGTGTGTTAAGTCTCCTACTACTATTGTAGGGTTGTCTGTTTTCCCTTTCAATTCAATTAATATTTGCTTCATGTATTTTGGAGCACTTTCATTGGGTGCATAGATATTTATCATAGTGATGTCTTCTTGGTCAATTGACCGTTTCAGCATCATATTGTGACCTTCTTTGTCTCTTAAATTGTTTTTCACCTTAAAGTCTATTTTATCAGAAATTAATATTGCTCCTCCTTTTTTTTTTTTTTTTTGGTTACTGTTGGCTTGATATATTTTTTCCCACCCCTTAACTTTTAATTTGTTTGTATCTTTGTGTCCAAGGTAGGTCTCATGTAGGTAGCATATCAATGGGTCTTCTTTTCTTATCCAGTCTGCCACTCTATTTCTCTTGACTGGTGCATTTAGTCCATTCACATTGAGTATAATTAGTGATAGGTATGAATTGATTGCTCTCATTCTACTGTGTTTTTTTGTCATGTTGTTGGAGTTTCCTTGGTCCATATACTTTTCTGTGTTGAGTTCATTTTCTTGTCAAGTGTTTCTTCTCTTTTCTTCTTTATTGTTGGTTTTGTGCTTACTAAGCCCATATGTTTTCCTTCTTTTTGGGTTTGCTTCCCACTGCAATTTAGTCGGATCTGACTGATAGCGACCCCTCCTTGGGTTTCTGAGACAGTATCACTATGGGAGTACATTGCCCAAACTTCTTTCCAAGGAGTGGCTGGTGGGTTCGAACCGCCAGCCTTCTAGTTAGTAGTCAAATGCCTTAGGCGCTACACCACCAGAGCTCCTTGGGTTTGCTTAGGGGGTTGTTAATTTTCTCTGTGGTTACCTTGGAGTGAATTCTTTTATTTTATATAT